TAGACTGAATTCACACAAAAAACGTCATGGCCCAATGCCGCAAATTCAGCAATGAACTCGTTCGACCCCGAACTGTTTGAAACCTCGCCTACGGCAGGCTCCTGGGGAGGGTCCGTGGGCCCAGGAAGGGGACCCTCCGAGGCCGCTGAGGGCCCTTCCCCAAGAAACTCCGCGACGATCACCTGCGACGGGGCGACGCGGGGGTCCGACACTTTGACCCAGACCTCCACCGAATTCTTAAACCATTCCGCACAGGCTACTCTCTGGAGGCTAGAGGGCTCACATCTCCTTCCCGACCCCGTCCTAAGCCACGCTAGGGTCGAGTCCGATCGCGCCGATCTCCCGCAACTCCTGCACCTGTGCTCATTGAGCCTCTTGCACCACCAAAGCTCATGGTCAGAACCCCGTCCGAATACGACTGGCTGCCCCAGGATCTCACGAGCCTCAGGATCCTGGACAGGTGGTGGGGGGCCTCGGCCCCAGCTCTCCGAGACGATAACCCGTAAGCACGCCCAAGACACAAACTGCAACGTGGCCTTATGGACCTTCAGGGCCTCCGAGAGCGACTGGGAAACCGTGTTGGCGATCATGTGGTGCGCCGCGCCCGCCTTGGCGAAATAGTCAGCCCAGGCATTGCCGAGCCAGTTCTCCACCTCTTCAGGATTCTCCAGCACACTGTCGATGTCACGGTGTGCAGGAGTCCACTCAAACCGAACAGGGTACTCAAGTACCCGACGCTGCGCAGCCTGAAAAATCTCTCGCCATATCCTGGCGTGCTTGCCTCGGCCGTGCTGGAGGGATTGGTCCCATGAGTTGCCCTCGGTAACCAGTCCCAGGAGGTCAGACACAAACAGCTCGTGATCTGGGTGAAATTCCAAACCCATTTTGATCGCATATCTCTCCGCACGGCCAACAGTCTGCACATAGAAGGGCAGGGGTCCGTACACAGCACGGACAGGCAAAAGAGTCTTGGGGTCCAGCTGGATGCATGAATACCCACACCGCCTAGTCTCTGGAACGCTGGATGCGAGGCCCGAGCCGTCGGTGTAGCTCTTGGGGCCCCAAGGCCCGTCGGTATCACCCCAAAGAAGAACTTCCGTGCTTATAATGTCGAGCCCAGGAATACCCGCAGGAGGAGCAGGGACCCCGAAGACCAGATAACTGGAGTCCCAAGCCAGACGCCCATCATACCATTCGCCCCCCTTCAGGAGCATGCCTCTGGTTGCCTCCAAGTCCTCTGAGATGTCCAAGAAGTCCTCGCGCTGCTTGAGCAGCTCGGGGCAGTCGTAGAGCACGTGGCCCCAAATACCCTGAGACTGGGCCCCACAAGCAGCACACGGCCTGATTGGTACCTTATGGCGGGCATCTTGGAGCTGAGGGATGGGGAGGTTTCCCGACCAGTGCGCTTGGAGGGCCCCGAGTCTACGAACGCACTTGATGCTCTTCACCGAGTTCCGTAAGCCTCGGTGCCATATCTGCTCGCCAGGCTCAGCAGTATAAAAATGCTTGAGCAGCCGCTCGTCCTGCCAACGCTGGATCCCCTGAGTGAGGAAGACCTTCAGGTCGGCGGGGCACATAACTCGCAAATCGAAAACGTTGCCTACATCATCAGCCACCATATGACTAGATACTAGATTCCACCCAATACGTCGTAAGGTCAGCCAACAGGCCCCGATCGGGCCCCGAGTATTTGCCCAAGACAGAGTGCCAATCTTATCTCGAAGAGCCTCCCAAGCCCGATGTAAGCGACTGTCGGGTATTCTCCTGTCCCAGACCCACTCCGCAAACTTGATGACAATGGCTAGAGTGGCGTGGTAAATAGGATCGTAGAAATCGCTCTTGTGGCTAACCAAGTAGGCGGTCACACCAGTATTAAACTTACCTGGCGCGCCGTTCAAGACGGCGGCGAAAAGACGCAACTCTCGCAGTGCAACGTCGCTTACTCCAGCAACTGCAGCACCGTGCGCCACTGATGGGAGGGCGCCTGTGCGCCACAGAGCCGTCGCGACCTTGCCGACAGCAGACTTCAGCATGGAAAACCTCGCCTTCCTCTCTCTGAGCTGTTTGAGACGCTTCTTTTCCATGCCTCGAATCACCTTGGGCCCCGTGAGCTCGTGACCTAGGTTCCTCATGTGGCCTTTGTACGGGATCTTCATGGAGCCCATGTGGCGCTGCACCCCCTTCCAGAACTTCCGAGAACCAACAACAGCCCCAGACTTGGAAGCCTTCAAGATCATGCCGAGGCCCTTGGAGTCCTGGATGAAACCCCTCGCCGCCAGCGCAAGGTACTTGGCCTCCGTGGGGTCCTGGGAGGTATGTTGGAGCCCAATGTCGCCCATGAGCGTCCTCGGGGTCACCGTGGGGGAGACCTTCGAGACCCTCTGCACCGACCTATAGGTAAGCAAGTACAAGACGTACGTAGCGTGAGTACACCCAGCTAGGATCCCCTGGAAGGACCGAAACCCTCTGGATACACTCCCAAAGGCCCTTATACGACGGGGCTGTTGGTAGCTCTGAATGAGGAGCCACAGCAAACGTAGTGGAAACCCCAGAGCCTGGCCTTCTCGGAGCAACGCATGTGGGTCCACCATGTCGTAACACTTGCTCATATCAAGCAAGATCGTACATGTCTGTTCCCCCAACAACTGCGCAACCTCCTGCTGAATATTATGATCAAACGCCGAGTCCGTAGACGTGTGGCCCGCTCTCGTGCCCCACATCTGGTCGCACTGGTAGCCAGCCTGCCACGCTGCCGAAACTGGTCTCCTGAGCTTGCCCCAGATACGCACCAAAGCGTGAGATAGAACAATCAATCGTGTGTCCCCGTCAGGTTTGGGTAAACGAACCATTTCACTGTACACCCGCTCAGGAGGCCAGGACAGCCACTGCTCGAAAACCATAAACATCTTGGCCATGCGCTCGAGCGCTTGGTCCGACAGAGCGTCCAGGCATCTGGGTGAAATTCTGCTCGGCCCAGCTGCCGTCCGCGTCGAAAACCTGCGAATGGCAGCCCGCACTTGCTGGTGGTCGAGCTCGGGCAGAGCAGGCCAGCTCTCGTGGCCTGGCGGCAGCTCAGGGGGCAAAAGGTCGTGATGCCGCCATACTCCCTCCCACACGTCAAGGGTGTGGTTTGCCAGCAGGTACGGCTGCGCGTTCACGTCGAAATTGAGCTGCTCCTGCTTGCCACGCGCCTTGGAGGCTGCATGGGCCCGACTGGCCCCACCTAAGAAAGCCTGCTTAGCCCAGCCTCGCCAAGCCTTCTCCGAGGCCCCTCTCGCTGCCTTCAGCACATCATCGGCCTTCCTCGTGATGTTGTCCAGGCCCGAGTCGAAGTCAGCATCGCCGATCATGCCCAGGCCCCGCAGCAGGAAGTCTACGGTGTCCTGATCAAGGTAGTGACATGTCTTCTTGTCGCGGGCGATCCTGCGGCAATATTGGTCCACCTCGTAGAAGGCCTGCAACACCTTGGTGTACTGCAGGGGCGTTAGCTGGCAGACCACTGAAGCCAACTGTAACCGTTGACAAAACCTGCCTAGTCGGTCCCGCTCCGACCTGAGATGCTGACACCATCTCTTGGCCGTCGCCCACGCATAGACCTTGGGCTCGCGGTACGTACGCCGGCGCGGAGGTTCCCATGCCAGCAGCTTCCACTTGAAACGTGGAGGGCCTGACCTGCCGACGAAAGGGGCCGCGTCCTTGTCCACCTTGTCATACCTCCCTGCCAGCTCGAAATCGATACCGTCCAGGACTGTGTCCCACAGCAGGGCCAAATCTGTAACCTTCTTGACTTCCAGAAAAACATGGTCCACTGCCTCCCACGGGTACGGGAACCTGGCGCACCCACATGGCGGAGTAACAGGGAAAGCCCTTGGCTCGTCTGGCACGAGACACCATGCTGGCCTGTCTTTGCCCAGGAGGTCGATACTGACTGGGTAATGCGGGGGTGGTATTGTGCCGTACATATCTTCCACCACTGCAGCCCCTAGCCTAGACGACAGATTTGCACACGCGATGAAGTAATCGATCGTAGACTTGCCGTCCTCCTTGCAGCACGTGGCCGACGCTGGCGTGTAAGACAACCCAGCAAGAGACTCAATCCACCTCCTCGCATTCAGAGCTGCTATGTCAGAATTCCAGTCACCTGCTAAGATCCATTGTCGTGTCGAGTTCCTTCTCCACCCTCTCGTTTTATGTCAATTAAACCTCTTCCTCCTCCCTACCCTCCCCCATCCGTCTAGCGTAGACTGAAATGGTTTTGGAACCATTTGGACCTTGTAATCCTCCTTCCTCGTTTTATTTATACAACTCTCGGGCTCAATTCGCCCTTGGGTCAGATATTGTAGCAGCGTCCGTCAGCATGCCGCGCGACAAAATCCATTTGCAACATCTGTGGCAAAAAAGGCCCAGATCGGTGCCTGCAGCTGCCTGGGTGCGCTGAGGCGGCCGCCGCCCGGAGGAAGCCCGGGCGTCCCAAAAAGACTCCCGCGCCAGCGCCAGCACCAAAGGTGGCCGCCCAGCCCGCACCCCACCCGGCTGCCCCAGCAGCGCGCGCAGACCCGCCACCGCCGGCGCCGAAGCGTGCACCTGCACCTGCGCCTCATGCGAAGCCGCCGCCTGCGGCGGCGGTGGCGGCGGCCAGGCCCGCGGCGAAACCAGCAGCACCCGCGCCACAGGCGAAGCCGCCGCCTGCCCCAGCACCACCCGCGCTCCAGGCGAGGCCGCCGCCTTCGGCGGCGGTGGCAGCGGCAGCGGCGCCAAGGCCCGCGGCGAAGCCCAAGCCCGCGGGACCGCCAGCGGCCCGCGCCCCAAAAACCCGCGGGTCCAGCAGCAGCTCAAGCTCCAGCTCGAGCAGCTCGAGTAGCAGCTCGAGCAGCGCCGCGGGGCCAGCGCCCGCGGCGCCTTCGCCAGCACCACTGGCGCAGCCAGCGGCGGCGGCGGCGGAGGCGCCGGCGGCGCCAGCGGCGGCGGCGACGGGAAGCACCGGCGAGGCGGCTGCCGCGATGCTCTCAGCAGCCCTGGCGGTGGACACCGGCCCCGCCCTCCGCCACCAGCAGGAGCGCCTCGAGGCTGCCCTGCGGGAGGGGCCGCCTCTCGGGGCGGCGAACGGGGACGCGGGGACCTACCGCTCTGCCTACCAGCAGTTGTGGAACGCAGCTCTGAGAGGCATAGCGGGGGAATGAAAGTGACACGAAACGAGAGTAGTTGCTACGCGGACTCCCAGCGCGCACAGTAGCGCTTTCTTCGACGCTAGCAGGTCCGCCCGCTGGCGGCGGAGCAATGTTCGCGCTACTGTGAACGATGCGGCGCCCGCGGTGTCCGCGGCGAACTGCTCTTTTTCCGGCTCCCTTCCTGCAGGCGGCAAGAGGCTGGCTGAGCTGGAGCTGAACGGGGAAAAGGCGAGGCACAAGACGGCGCTCTTTGTGAAGGAGGAGGAGCTCCGCAGGGAGCGCGAGAAGACGGAGGCTGCCCAGGCTGCCCTGCGGCAGGCGGAGGAGCGCGGGTCGCGCGAACACACATTCCACCCCGCGGGCATGCAAATTAGTGAGAATATGTTTCGCCCCCCCTCTCCCCAGAACAAGCTCAACCACGACGTCGGCTACCAGAAGGGGCTGCTGCAGGCGGAGCGGGACCAGGCTGCCCGCGCGAAGGCAGCTGCCGCGGCGCGCAGGGAGGCCGAGCAGAAGGCCAAGACCGCGGGCCAGAACCACGGCCGGGGAGGCGCAAGCCCGGGCAAGGGCACGGACCCAGACGGGGGCCAGAGGGGCAAGGGCCCCGGCAAGGGCAACGGGCAGGCGGCTGCCTAGAAGAGGTCCGTCTGTGGTAACAATCGCTCGTCCCTCGCTTTCGCTCTCCGCCGCCTCAGTTCTCAGTGGTTCTCAGTCCACCTAGTGGCTGGGTTCTGCAGGGTTCTCTTGGGTTCCCTCTTTGATCGGTGTGTCAAAAGGGGAGAATGCTTTCGAATTTGGAAATTATGTTTTCGGTTAATATTTTTGGCTATTTTTGGGTTATCCTGGTGGTTCTCTGCGGTTCTCAGTCCACCTAGTGGCTGGGCTCTGCAGGGTTCTCTTGGGGCCCCTCTTTTGTCGGTGTGTCAAAAGGGGGGAATGCTGCCGATTTTTAAAATTAGGTGTTCGTTCAATATTGTTGTTTATTTCTGGGTTCTCCTGGGGGTTCTCTGTGGTTCTCAGTCCACCTAGTGGCTGGGTTCTGCAGGGTTCTCCTGGGGTCCCTCTTTTGTCGGTGTGTCAAAAGGGGGGAATGCTGTCGATTTTGAAAAAAAAATATTCACGGGGGGTTCTCTGTGGTTCTCAGTCCACCTAGTGGCTGGGTTCTGCAGGGTTCTCTTCGGGTCCCTCTTTTGTCGGTGTGTCAAAAGGGGGAAATGCTCTCGACTTTAGAAATTACGTCTTCGTTCTATAGTTTGTTCATTTCTGGGTTCTCGTGGGGGTTCTCTGTGGTTCTCAGTCCACCTAGTGGCTGGTTTCTGCAGGGTTCTCTTGGGGTCCCTCTTTTGTCGGTGTGTCAAAAGGGGGAAACGCTGCCGATTTTGAAAATTATGTGTCCGTTCCATATTTGTTTATTTCTGGGTTCTCCCGGGGGTTCTCAGCGGTTCTCAATCCACCTAGTGGCTGGGTTCTGCAGGGTTCTCTTGGGGTCCCTCTTTTGTCGGTGTGTCAAAAGGGGGAAACGCTGCCGGTTTTGGAAATTATGTTTTCGGTTCATATTTTTGGTTATTTTTGGGTTCTCCTGGGGGTTCTCTGTGGTTCTCAGTCCACCTCGTGGCTGGGTTCTGCAGGGTTCTCTTGGGGTCCCTCTTTTGTCGGTGTGTCTAAAGGGCGGCATTGAAAGCTGGCTGTACTGTGTCAAAAAGAGAAATTCTTTGTATTTTCCGCCGTTTTTTTTACCGCCGCCCCGAGAGAGCTTCTTGAGACTCCTAAAGCGGGGGGGGGATTATGTGTATTTGTTTGGCTATTTTTGGGCTGGGCCGGGCGGTTCCAAACGGGCCTCGTGGGCCACAGGGCGCAATTCATTGTTTTCAGCGTGCTTTGTTTAATCACACGTTCAAACAATTTTCGAGTAATTCACTGTCGCCTTTGCTCCCTCTGTCCCCTTTTGTCCCCTTTTGTCCCCTTTGCTCCCTTTGTCCCCTTTGTTCCCTTTTGTCCCCTTTGCTTCTTTGTCCCCTTTCGTCCCCTTTGCTCCCTCTGTCCCCGTTGTCCCCTTTTGTCCCCTTTGCTTCCTCTGTCCCATCTATCTTCTTTTATCCCCTTTTGTCCCCTTTGCCCCCTCTGGCCCCTTTGTTTTTTCCGCTTTGCCCCCCTCTGTCCATTTTTATTCCCTTTTGTCCCCTTTTGTTCCCTCTGTCCCCGTTGTCCCCTTTTGTCCCCATTTGCTTCCTCTGTCCCATCTATCTTCTTTTGTCCCCTTTTGTCCCCTTTGCCCCCTCTGGCCCCTTTGTTTTTTCCGCTTTGCTCCCCTCTGTCCATGTTTTATTCCCTTTTGTTCCCCTTTTGTTCCCTTTGCACCCTCTGTTCCCTTTGTCCCCTTTTGTTCCCCGTTTGTCCCCCTTGCTCCCTCTGTCCCCTTTGCCTCCTTTTGCCCCCACTTGTCCCCATTGCTCCCTCTGTCCTCTTTGTCCCCTTTTGTCCCCTTGTGTCCCCTTTGCTCCCTCTGTCCACTTTGTCCCCTTTTGTCCCCTTTTGTCCCCTTTGCTCCCTCTGTCCCTTTTGCCCCCTTTTGTCCCCTTTGCTTCCTCTGTCCTCCTTGTCCTCTTTTGTCCCCTTTGCTCCCTCTGCCCCCTTTATCTCATTTTGTCCCCTTTTGTCCCCTTTGCTCATTCTGCCCCCTGTGTCCCCTTTTGCCCCCTTTGCTCCTCTTCGCTCACTCTGTCCCCTTTGTCCCTTTTTCTTCCCCTTTTGTCCCCTTTGCTCCCTCCGTCCCCTTTGTCCCTTTTTGACACCCTTTTTGTCCCCTTGTGTCCTTCTGTTCCCTTTTGTATCATTTTGTCCCATGTTGTCCCCTTTGCTCCCTCTGTCCCCTTTGTCCCCTTTTGTCCCCTTTGCTCCCTCTGTCCCCTTTGTCCCCTTTTGTCCCCTTTGCTCCCTCTGTCCCCTTTATCTCCTTTTATTTCATTTTGCCCCCTTTGCTCCTTCTGCCCCCTTTGCGCATTGGCACCGAAAACGCAGCAAAACGCCCTCGGGAGGCCCAAGAGGCCTTCTGAAGCAACCCTCGAGGCCGCCAAGACGGCCCAAGATGGCCCCAAGACGGCCCGAAAGCCACTCAAGGCGCCACAAGAGAGCCTCAGGAGGCCTGCCAAGAGGGCCCCCCGGAAGCTGCCAAGAGGGCCCCCGGAAACTAAAGATGGAAGACGACCTCGGGGCTGCGAACTGCGAAACAATCATTCTTTTACTCATTGCACATTGCCGCCTTAGGAGGAGGAGGAGAGGAGGGGGAGGAGGAGGAGGAGGAGGAGGCTTTGGTGCCACTCGGCTGCGCTAGGGGGCGCTCATCGCATGAGCCGCCTCGGCGCGCTGGCTCGGTCACGGCAGCAGGCCCTCGGTGCAGGGAGCCTTGGCGGAGTCTTTTGAGGCGGCCCTTTCGGATCAGTTAACGGGAACATCATTTTTTTGGGGCCCCGCGTGGCCCTCTTGGCCCAGCTGTCAGCTTGAGCCTGCCCTCTTGGCTTTTTGAAGCGGCCCTCTTGGTGCATCCTTTAGCCGTGGCGCGGAGCAGCCATGAGGGGTGAAGATTCGTACAGAAAAAGTTCGACTTGTGTCCTTTTGTCCCCTTGTGTCCCCTCTGTCCCCTCTGTCCCCTTTGTCCCTTTTTGTCTCTTTTGTCCCCTTTGCTCTCTCTGTCCCCTTTTGTCCCCTTGTGTCCCCTTGTGTCCACTTTGCTCCCTCTGCCCCCTTTGTCCCTGTTTGTTCCCATTTGTCCCCATTGCTCCCTCTGTCCCCTTTGTCCCCTGTTGTCTCTTTTTGCCCCCCCTTTGTCCCCATTTTGCCCCCTCTGCTCCCTCTGTTCCCCTTTTGTCCCCTTTTGTCCCCCTTTTGTCCCCGTTGCACGGGGCGTCGCAGGCCCCATTGCGAGAGAAAAAGGCGAAGTGTGTCCAGCAAGGGTTTCTGAGCTGTGGCGTTTCCCGCATATTGACGGGCCAACTAGATTGCTAGCGGGGGCCCTTGGCCCAGGGCACCCGGGCTGTATGATCGTAGGCACGGAGGTGCACACAAGCGACAATGTGATCATAGGCGATAGGGCGCTCGTACGTTTTGCGGTGCTCTCAGGCTTTGGCCGATGCTTCTAACAGAAGTACCTCCTCCTCCTCCTACCCCGTCCTCCTCCTCATCCTCCTCCTTGGAAGAAAAACTGTGCAACTTTTTGGGTCTCGTTTGAGCCGCGCACCCGCAGCAGGTAGCGCTACTGTTGAGGGAATGAATTAAGCAACACTTTTGTACGCCGCCTGCGATCCCTCCCTCGCTCATCCTCGTCGTCGTGGTCGTCGTCAGGGCAGGTGTCAGTTTCGCCATGACATACACCAGCTGCCTGCGGCAAATCCCGCCGCCGTGCCAACCCTTATGAATCTCACTCGGACCGTCTTGTGGCAGCCACAACTTGAACAAGAACCAGAGCAAAACCATAACCAGAGACAGAACCATAACCAGAGCCTGAACCCGAGCACGAACCAGAACGAGACCCAGATCCAGAGCCAGAACCGCAGCCGGAACCACAACCAGAGCCGGAACGAGAACCAGAGCCAGAACCACAGCCGGAACCCGAACCAGAGCCAGAACCATAACCACAGCCAGAACCATACCCAGAACCAGACACCGAGCTTCACCCGCAGCCAAAGCCAGAACCAGCACCAGAGCCGCGGCCAGAATGGTACCCAGAGCCAGAGCCAGAGGTAGGCCGCAGCCAGAACCACAACCATAACCACAACCAGATCCGAAACCGGAGCCACAGCCAGAACCAGAATCATATCCAGAACGGTAACCAGAGCCAGAACGAGGGCCAGAACCATAACCAAAGCCACAGCTACAACCAGAGCCATAACCATAATCATATTCGTAAACCGAGCCAGCGCCTGACCTAGGCCACGTCAGGCCTAGGGCCAGACCCACAGTTAGAACGAAAGCCAAAGCCAGAACCCCAGCCATAACCAGAATCGCAACCATAATTGCGAATGTTCTCGGGGCCGCGCTCGCAGAGTTTGGCCCGAGCATTTCGGTGAGCCTGCCGCTACCGGCGAACGTGCAAGTGATTCTTCTCCAGTGACTTGAGAGATGCCCGTGCTCGGCTCCGCTGTGAAGCTCCAGTACCGCACGGAGATGCGGGCCTCATGGGCCATCGTGGACGGTGCATTCGAGTCCGCGGTCATACTGGGGCCGCGCGCGGCGCAAGTGCTTTTGCGCCACAGTACCCGGGCATCCCACCATGAGTTCCCGTACGCCCTCAGCGTCATGGCGGGGCTGGTGGCGTGCACGAACGGTGCCGAAGTCGCTGTCTTCCCCGGCCCCGCGAGTCCTTTGATGTTCTCCGTGATCAACGTCAACTACCCGCAGACTCGGAAGTCTTCCACGCACAGCTCCATGCGTGAAGTGTCTAAGGAGATCGACGGGCGGAGCAAAGACAGGGCTAAGGGCATCGTGCGCGACGGGCTCCACGCAGAGCAAGGGGCGCTCGGGGGGGGACCTGCGGGACCGCCGCCCGCGCAGGTCAATTCGGCGACCTTGACTTCCTTCACGAACGCGGCGTTCTTCCAGCGCTGCGCGGGAGATTGGGGGCAAGTACGGAATGGTGCCGA